CAGGCCGTTTCCTTCGCCACACGACACCCGTCTGTCTGGCAGCGCCCCTTTTTCCCAGAGACCGGCGTGCGGTTCGCATATCAGCGCAGATGGCATGAGGGAGGTGGATAAATTCCCTCCTTTTTTTCTGGCCACCCGGACCGATGGGGCAGGGGGGAGAGGGGTACTCGGCGAAGTAACCCGCAGCATGCCGGGCTGGCCTGCCCCACCTGGCTGTACCTGTGTGTGTGCGTGCGCATGCACGCCCGCGTGTGCGCCGACATCCCCCGCCCCCCCCCCCCCTCCCCCCTGCTCGCATGCCGCGCGGTGTTGGCAGGGCGCCCCGGAGAATCGGCCGACACCCCGCATCCCCGGGCCTGCTGCCCCCCCTGGGCCCGGGAGGGACTTTCAGCACTTCCAGCGATCGGGGCATGCGGGCGAATGGGTCTCACACGGGGATTGACACGGAGTTACAGGGCCGGGCCGCGGCCCGGCCCGCGCGTCGCCCCGAGGGAGGGGGGCCAGCGCGCGTGCGCGCGCGCGCATGCCTCACCCTCAATCATTGCTGGGCCCGTGCGTGTGTGTGTGTGTGTGCTCTCTCGCGCCGGCACACGCGCGCTGGTGACACCGGGGCGCCCCCGCGTGCCTGCGTGGTTTTGGGCATACGCAAGCGAATGGGGTGGCACGCTGGGGCGTGCGACGCAGCTGGGGGCTGGCAGGGTGCCTGGCTGTTGGCGGCTCTGCCAGCCGGAGGGCCTCAGTGATGCCGGTGCTCCCCTGCTAGTCGGGCAGGCCGACCGGCGGCTCGCCGGGCCCCTTTCGCGCGGTCGACCCTCTCTTGGCCTGGCTCCCCCGATCAGTCTGTTCGTGGGCAAAATGGTCTGTTCCCATTGTCTGGCCCAAGGAACGGGGGGGGGGGGGACCTCCTGCGGGGGATGGGCAATGCCCGCTCATCGGCCCGGCGCCCGCCCAGCAGGGACACCGGGAGCGGCGGCGGTCGCTGTGTCGGCCTGCATGCGAACCGCCCATATGTGCGTTCATCTGTGTGCGTTCATCTGTGTCAGTGCGCGCGCGGTGTGGGCATTCTTTCGAGACAGCTGGCTCGGGGGAGGGCCACCTCGCCGGCAGGGGCAGAGACGCCGAAAGCACAAGGGCTGGAGAGTAGCCGACGCCAGGGAGGAGTTGGACGTCCCGGGGGGGG